TGTGTATATATATATATATATATATATATATATATATATATATGTATATAATTTGCTATTAGCCAACCAGTGGTTTCTGTGGGAAAATAACTGGAAGTTTAGAACACAACCATCTGTCAGTTAACAACTCCTTTTGTTTGTAGAACTAAACAGCTATCAGTCAAGACTGGTGCCATACAGCCAAAGTTTCAAGGACTTTTTTCTTCTTACATAACCTACACCAGCTTTCAGTTTTTATATTCAAATGGCAGTTACTGTTTTCATGGACTTTGTCATATGGAATATATTCTAGTATTTCTGCTTTACTAATTTTTTATCACCTTAAACATGCAATGTCCATATATTTGTTTTTTTCTTTATGTGTTATTTAAACATTTTCATTATCTTCTTCTAATGTGAAGGTATATAATCCAGTCTTTGAAAGTGGTTTTTGAAGTAGTACCAATTCTTTGAAAGATAGGAAGAATTCATCTGTAGAAGTAATAGTATCATGAGACCAGGATTATGCTTATACATATAGATTGCAAAATTTTAATTAAAATCATTAATTTTACATTTCTAATGCCTTTTGTGTTGTTTCTCCTTCCAGGTTTGAATACATACAAATAGGAAAGAATTAAAGTGATTTAAATGCTCATTACTACTATGCAGAACTGAGGAAATGTAACCTCCAGGGAGTCTTAGAGCATTATACTGTGAATGCAGGTACAATCTGTTAAGAAGAATCATGCATTTCAAAAAGTAATTGGCCCTGTATTGCATTTTCTCCAGGAGAGAATTCTCCATGAGTATTAATTAAGGCATTGTCTCTGAAAAGGTATGGGATTCCTGGGCACTTACGAGTTGGAAAAAAACAAATGAGTAAAAGAGGAATAAATGATTTAGAGGTTTAAAAGGGATGTATTTTCATTGTCACATACAATTCAGGGATTTGTGCAGCCCATTTTAGCAGCTACTGTCTCAAAATGTCCTAAAGGATGCTATTTAACATGACTTATTTCTGTGAAGTGTGAGACTGATTGATACTTTATAATTTAAAGATCTTTCTATAACAGGCATAATTAACCCAGAAACTGAGTTTCTTTAACAAATACAAAAAATGCTGCTTGAAAGGAATACATTGAGCATTTAAAATGCCATTTATTTTAGCATAAGGAAAACTATGATCAGTAAGTAAGCTTTGTAACTAAATGTCTCAACTACACTTATTTACAATAATTCCATGGGGAAAGTATTGAAGAAAATGTTGACAATACTGTGGACTATTCATGAATATGGTACATACATTTTTGTTATTTTAGCATCAAAAATGAACTGAAGTGACTAAAAGATTCTCCCACCTTTCTCTCTGATCTCCATAATTAATGACTGAGATTAGTCACCATTTATCATCTGAAATAGACAGCAGCACAAAATATTGTCCTCAGAAGATGTTTGAATTTCAAGAATATTTAGAGCTAGAAATAGATTTGTTATAAGGAAAGGACCAGCAGTTCAATTATTGCACAGCACAGTACTTAGAAAGCAGTTTAGGATGAATAGCCCTCTCAGTATCTACAGCAATTACAAGTTGTCAAAATATTTTTAAAAATTGTAATGGATATACTCAGTGGATATCTCCAAATGGACATGGATATATCAATAATTTTCAAATTTCATATAGTAATTTTATCACTATTATCATGAATTCTATTATTCCAAATTCAGAATTTCCATTCTAAATCTTTAAGTTTTAAAATGCAATGCATTCTCAAATGTACTCCTAATTTTTCTCTAGGAAATGTTTCGGCATCTGGTCTCAAATACAGGACTTTCTCCTGTATAAATTAAATACATTAATGGCAGAAAGTTATGGAAAGATTATTTTCTTCAATGGCAGAACACAAAGGAAGTAAAGGTATTTTCACAATTCTTCTAATTTATGATCCATTATGATCCATATTATGATTCATTATGATCCATAGAGACCATTAGACTTTTATCAATGTGCAAATCATAGCTGAGAGAGGTTTGCTGATTTCTTTCCAGAAACACGCTGCTAACAGAATAGTTGAGTTTTCCAAAGAAACACTCTTTTCCCTGTATTATATTTCCCTCCTTATCCCAGAGGTATAACAGGAGTAGCATCAGAGACCCTGGACTTAGATCTCAAATGCATATTCTAACACAGAACTCTATTCCCAGTAACAATAAGCAGTGTTGTGCATCGTCTAAGATGCAGTAACTATAGCCCTGTAATAAGCTGAATAGATGATCAGAAATTTAATAAGATCCTGAAAAACCATCTTAGACTAATGATAAAAAGAACAGTTAATAATATAAAATGTTAGCACATTGGCCATGAACCTGAATTGGCCCAAAAATCCTCCTAAAAAATGCTACATTAACTAGAATGAAGATCCTTATGCAGTTTACAAATGAAGTGATATCTATTTTTCCTTTAAATATCAAATATGTGCTATAAAATTGGAAATGAAAAAATACATTAGAGTACAGTCTGATTCCATTTCTTCAATTAAATTTTTTATGATTTTTACAGTAATTTAACATTTTAATTAAATCTGCAACTATTTTCATTTCTAAAAGATGTCCTTCATTTTGTAATACTATATAACTAAATCACTAATGAAGTGACTTTCCATTCCAATTAATAGTATCTGGTAATAATTTTAATACTATTTCTAAATGACTTAATTCTATGATTGCACTTAAACTTTGGGGAGATAAAATTGAATACAACAACCCAAATCCCTGCCTTTGTATAGTTATGTGTGAGAGTCAAAATAAACAGTTGAATATATTTTATACTTTCTTTTAGTTTTATCATCAGCAGGGAGAAGGGGATGGATTGTTGTGTTCATCTCAGCTTGTTTTCTAGAATGTAAGCAAGAAGATACAGTAAAAGAAAGCAGATGGAAACCATTAGTGTACCAACATTTCATTTCAAATGGATAGACTGCATATTTTTCAGACTGGATAAATCTCTTAAAGTGTGTATGATAGAATAGTCCCTTTAATGCACGCAATACATACCAGGTTAGTGGTATTACTAATGCTAATACACTTATTAGTGAGAGTAACTACTGTATATTGACTGCATATTTGATCTTTTCAAAGCTTCAAATATATTAACCCATTTATTGTTGCCTTAATAACCACATAATTCAGGTACTTTTATTAACTGCATTGTACAAATGAGGAAACTGAAGCTCCAAGGAATTGATAACTCGCCCGAAGTCATACAACTAATCAGATTCTACAGGAGTCATCAAACTCTGGCAGTCCGGCCCCAGATCCTGAGGTCTGTTATACCATCTTACATGTATTAAACTAAATCTTAATATTACATATGCACAGATATGTATAAACTTTAACTTTCTTATATACTTAATCATTATTAATCATGGTATTTATTCATTCCCTCAGGAAATGCACATTGTTTTTCTACATGCCAGGCGCTATTATAGATGCTAAGCATAAAGTGATGGACAGGATTGCTAATGCAAAAAGTTATTCTGACAGTTATTATAAAGCGGTAAGAAAGACCTTATTTAAGAGATCAGGCTCAACTCCAAATATAGCAAAGGCAGTTGGGGATTTATAGCCAGCTCTAGTGAGAAAGTCACTGAATGAAAAATTACTAAGAGGAGATATCAAGGGTAGGGGGACTGGCTAACCGACTCTGAATTCTTGCTACGACTGGAGGTGAAGACACAGTCCAAAGATGAGGCCGAGTCAGAAAGAGGGCTCAGCTTCACTCAAGTTTCATTAAGGAGAGAGTCTTCATCAAGATAAACAAAGATGCTATGATTTGTAGCTTAAAATCTAGTAGACAGAAACAGTTAACAAAGGGATAAACACAGAAATTTGTGCTCCTGTTAAGGACTATAAAGAAACCAAATTAAGGTAATCCCTTGGAGAGTTACTGAGGAGGAGTTAAAGTGAGGTAGTGTTTTAAGTAACTCATGGCTTGAGGAAGGCCATTTTCAGGATATGATATTTGAACTGAATTTATTACTAGATATCAAGCCCAAAGTTGTACCTTAAAATAGCGAAGGCTTCATATTTTTTCCCACACAGTGAAAGAGGAAAAACTAATTTCCCACCTCTGTTTTATAAGTTTATCTTAATAATGTTCCTTTTAAAAGCAATACAAATATTATATTCAATATATATATATAATTTTAATATATAAAATTTTAATACATCCTTAGTGATAAACCTCTTGTCTTTCTCTAATACATCAAGAGAAGGTTTAGCTTAATACAGTGAACTCAGAACATTTTCCTCACGAAAGCCTTAAAGAATCCATCAGAACTTCCATTTTATCAGGTAATTTTTAGTCTCACTTCTCTTTTATTTTACATTACCTGAGAAAGAAAAATAATTTAAAGAGAGCCCTTTCTCCTGACACATTAAACCACACTAGTGGATAACTTTTTTCTGGGTATTTTTTCTAGGCAGGGTTTCCTATTGATCTTTATAAATCAATATAGATCAATATAGAGGGGAGGGGTATTTTGAAATTGTATAAAGAAAGCAATGCAACCTAACAGTCTTATATATAAAAGAAAATTCAATTATAATAGGGAATTGACTTTGAAATTGGATCAATAAACAACTCTGAAGAGGATAAGAGCTGAAAGAGTAATGCTCAATCTTACTTATACCTTATATTCCCTTACCTAAGAAATAACTTATACAAGGTGAGTTGAAAGAAATATTAACTAGTCACAAATACGTCACTTGGGCAAACAAATATGAGGGGAAAGATGTTTTAAGGAAAATGTAGAGATTGAAAGCTTTCTCGTATGTTTGTGATAGGCTGACCTCACAGAGAAGAGCTGCATAGTAAAGTAGAAAAGCTAAACCTTCCCTTGGTGTCATTATTCAAAGATTTTTTTGTGTCATTATTCAAAGATTTTTTTTTTTCTTCTAGATTGACTGCAATATAGTTGACATACAGTACTGAATAAGTTTAATTTCAAACCTTTCTTTTAAAATAGTTACTTCTATAACAAAATTTCTTTAAGGCATTGATTATGCCAAATTTGGGGTTTTTAAAAACAATATTTTGATTCATTTTCAGGTATAAATATTGTGACTATTTCAAATATTTTCTCATATAGGCTTCTTTCAATGTACTTCCAAAGACCAAAAAAAGATGCGTACATCCAACTCGGAATGTAACACGGTTGTTCAGTAAGAAGTAAAGTGGAAGGAACATTGTTACTCAAATAATGAAAATGAGAAGAATACCTGTCCTATTTACTTTAAGGGATTTCTGACTGTTGAAAACATATTCAAAATAATAAATTCAAATAAAATTAAAGATGACATGAAAATATATAAGCTATGGAATGGATTAAATGCAAATGACAAGCATGTATGTACAAAGGTGCATATGTATACGCCATCAAGTAAGAATACATACATTGTAAAGAGTAGAAGATTTTAAACTTTGTTTTTCAAATGATAACCTGCAATAGTTGAAATTTATATTTGACTTAGAAATTATATAATTAAGCATTGATTTACTGTGCATCTAACTTCATAGCCTTCACTTTACATTGGTCAGCATGAATTATAAGTGTCAAATGATGGCTGCTTATAAATGTTGTAGCTATACTTTATAAACTAACCGGCCAAGAGATAATTGATTTTATTTTTCTCAGCATTATAAATCATACATCAGTTTAGGTGTTTCTATTAGATATGATACCAGTTTGGTCCCAGCTTTTTAAAAGAATAACAACATGGGCAGCCGTAGTGTAGTAGAAATCATTTTTAACACTATATGAAAAGAAGTAAATGCAATATGTTTTTTACAATGGCAGACAATTTTTGCAGGAAAAAAAGCCTGGAAGAAATATAACATGTTCTGTAATTTAGCAACAATTATCATCAATGTGATAGGTTGAAAATCATGATATTGCTTACCTATAAAATGTATTGTGACAACTTATAGATGTGAATAAAATTTAATTTCTATCTGAAGATGATTCTTGCATTAAAAATTGTAGAATTTGGAATCTACTTTATTGAATTGTCATTTACTTTTAGCTATACTTTTAGAAAATAAATCTTTAGAAGTAGCAAGTAATGAATGATTGCAGATGATTGTTGAAAATATGGCATCATGTTTTATTTTGGATAAATTTTAAAATAAATATCCTGATCAACTTTCTTTAAAATCTTCTTCATGTCAGTGTGCCTCTTTGAAAATGGTTTCTCAAAGGTGTTATTAAAATCAAACAGAGAAGTAATTTAGATATTAGTTGCTAGGAGTTTCGTAACAAAAGTCCATTGGTTAGAATACACCAACTGAAGTTCTAGAGTCTAGAAGTCCGAGAGCAATATTCTGGCCAATTACCTTTCTGGTGAGAATGCTTCCTGACTTGTAGCCACCTTCTTGCTGTGCCCTCGTATGTCCTTTTCTCGGTTCCTGTGCACACAGAGAGACATTGAGTGTGTGCAAGCTCTGGTATCTCTTCTTAAAAGGACATTAATCCTATCAGATCAGGCCTCCACCCTAATAACCTCATTTAACATTAATTATTTCCTTAGAGGCCCCATCTCCAAATACAGACACACTGGTGGTATGGGCTTCAATATATGGAAGTATGAATTTTGGAGGGACACCAACATTCAATCTCTAACAGATATATTATCCTCTCTGAGTCATGTTGCCATCAACCAAGCCTAGATTGGATAGTCTAACAAGTAAGAAGAAAGCTCATTTGTTACATTAAAATCTTTAAATACATACGTGGTACTGTAAATAATTTCTAGAGGTTAATGGTAGCTGCTTAAATCAAACTCTATACATCCACGCCTCAAAAATATCTAAATTTGAGATCTTTTATAAATATCTTTTATAAGTTCATACATGACTTACGACTTCAACATTACTAGGAGACAGAATACCAAAAACTTCTAATTAACAGTATGTGGAGAAATAAATCCAAATTCCATCTGTGATCCTACTCTCACTGTAAGACAAATGGGGAAGGGGAGCCGTAGGAGGCTCAGTTTTTTAAAAAGGGAGGGTTTGGAGTAAAGAATAATTTCAAAAGGACAGGAAAACCTACGACCAGAAAGACACCATCCAGGACTAAATGTCAAATGAAGATATTATGACTTGGTAGTACAGGAAATGCGCTTGAAAGTGCACTGGAATGAAACATTGATTCTGGGGTACAATCACATAAATAGAAAAGGAATGACAATGAAGGATGAAGGGAATGTAAGTATCCTGCAGAAATAAAAAGGAAACAGGAACAACACAGGCTAAGCCATTCTCTCACCACCTACCACTAACTCTGTTCAATAAAGAAATTGTACTTCACTATAGAGACCAAAAAAGGCACTCCTGAACATGAGACTGTTTCCAAAAGGCACAGGAACAGAAAAAAGCAAACTACAGACTAATCTCCTTAAGAAGAAAACAGAAATGCAAATTATTTCAGTTGATGAAAATGTCTAGAACAATAAATTTTAAACCTAAGTGCAAAAAGGAACAAACTAGAAGTGGATCTAGTTTTGATCAAACTCAGGGGAAAATGTTGAAGGAAAAAAAAAACCCGTATCAGTTTTTTTTTTAATTACAAGAATTTAACTTATTATAGATATGGAAGAAAACAAATAGGAAAGTGATATATATATATATATATATATATATATATATATATATATACGGTACCCAAAGTATCTATGCAGGTATATAATATGGGGAGTTAATATTCAGTCATAATTTCACTTTCAATACACAGCATGCATGATCTTAAGTCTCTCTTCCTTGTGCTAAGACAATTTGCTTTAATTGATTTACTAAAATGTATTTTCATGTCTATCATATCTAATAATAAAAGGCTCACATTTTTATGTCTTCCTTAATTTTTCTAATAATTATTTTTTATCTTGCAAAATATCAGTCTACATTACATTGGGGGAAATAGTCATTAAAGAGATTGAGAAGCTATATAGTTTGTGTTACTTAAAATGTATATACAAAACATCCCTACATGTTTCATAATGCTATTCAAAGCTACATATCAAATATATTAGATTGGTATATGTATAATGTATATGATATACAGAGAGAGATTATACGACCACATTCTACTTTGTGGCCATGTAGTATCCATACAAATGCACTTACGTAACACAATCTGGTCCTTCTTTTAAGCACATATATGATAGAATGGAAGGATTTCCAGCACTGTGAATAAAACAAATAATTAAAATAAATAGTAAATAAATAAAACTTGAATGGGATCCTATACTGACCACTGATGATAGTTTCATTAGTTAAGCATGAAATGAGCTAATCTTTCTACATCCAAGACCAAGAAAATTTAAAATATAATATGTGACAATCCAAAATTATGCTAAAATACTATAACCCTTTACTTGTATTTTGAGAACCCCTTGAAAGTGATCCAAGTCCTTAGTCAATAACATTTTTTTAAAAAATTTACCTTTCATCCATTTAAACACACTTGGTGGTTCTGCCTGTGCTTATTATTTTCATCTGTATCTCTCTCTCAAACAAAATATAGGAACATTTTCTTTTCATCCTGCAATTTTAGGACTGTATCTTCTCTTTTCTATTGGTATGACAATGTATAATTGCTTGTGCACTGGGGCCAAGCCCTCTTTCCTCTCAATTCTGAAATTCTGTTCCTTTATCTCCTTCACCCTGGTTTTACCTGTTTAAGGTGTTTAACTCCACAAATCCTTATCTAACACAAAGTAGACACTTTGTGAGAGTTGGAAAAGGGGCCGAGGTATGGAGGGGTGATAAGGTGGGTGAAATTGTAGAGAAACTGGGCCCACAAAAAGAATTTCTTTGGCAAGATGGACAAAAAAGTTGTTAGCTATTCAGAGATGAGGTGTTTATTCTCTCACATATATATATATATATATATATATATATATATATATATAAAAAAGACAATTCAGTCTCATCAGTGCTGCAATATTTAACAACTATTTTTCTTATATCAAATTAGCTGACATTAAGAAAGTCTAATAGTACTTAAATCTTACATGTTACTTAGGAGAGAAGGGGCCATACTTTTTATTTTCAGGGGCTTTCAGAGATATAATTAACTGATAAATTACATATTTTTTTGGAAAGCCACAAACATTGTAGGAAAAAAATAATAAGAGCTTGCCTAGAGTGTTCAAAAAGAGCAAGGGTAAGAGTGAGGATGGAACTCAGTGAGTGAGTGAAGGAGAGAAACCAGAGCAGGTCAGAGAGTTTGGGGTTAAATGGACAATATGAAACCTGTAGGCCAAGGTATGGATGTTGGCTTTTAGTCTTAGTGAAAAGGAGAATCATGGCAGAGTTTAAGCAGAGGAGTGAAAAACTCAAACTGGAATTTTAAAGGAATCACTCTACCATTTTGAGGAAAATACTGTAAGAGGTCACGTGTAGTAGCAGAAGTATCTGTTAGGAAGCTGTAACAGAAACCTTGATCAGAGTACATTTGGGGTGATAACAAAAGAGGTAGTATACAGGTATTAGGTAATTCATACATTTTGAGGTTAGGGGAAACAGGAATTTCCGAAGTATTGGGCGAGTGGTATGAAAAGGAGCAGTCATGGAGGCTTGAGGTGCCTGTGCAACTGGAAAATTATGAATCCTGACTGAGATGAGTAAGGTGAAAGGTGGAATATGTGTGGAGTTAGACACCACAGGTGTCTAATTTTGGACATGATAAATTTGAAAGTGTTTCACATTCTAGAAGAGATTTCAAGTACTCAGCTTGATATATGGGTTTGTAGTTCCAGACACAACATAACAGATCTTTTCATATTTACTAAATCAACTGAATCAAAGTCCTATCTTGGTATCAATTTTCATCAGAATATCTTTTCATATGTGCTCCAGCCATTTAGATTTCTGTGTGAGAGGATTATCCATTCCTAACCTTTTTTCTGTCAGTTTTTCTATGGAGTTGTCTTAAATTCTTGTCTTAAATTAACTTATTAACTTAATTAAATTAAATTAATTAAATGCTCAAATCCTGTATATTAAGGACAAGACTTCTAGTTTGAGATTCTGAATAGACCACATCAAGGGATGCAGGGAGGAGGAGAAGTGGGTGCTTTGGGTGGAGTTACACATTTCTAACATCTGTTAAAATATAAAGTACATACCAGACTCAGAAATATTGTTCAGCTAAACAGACAGGTTAGGTTTACATGATGAACATGAATTCTGGAGACAGACTGCTCACATTCACACCCCAGCTCTGCTAATTGCACGGTGTTAGGTAAATTTCCTTTTTCTTTTTGCCTCAGTTTTTTCATTTGTTTGGGTTGCCTTTTTAAAAATTTGTTTGATATGTAGGCTGGGGTAAGTGGAATGAGATTGCATAGAGGATCACTGGATATTACAGTTGACCCTTGAACAGCTCTGGGGCTAGGGACACCAACTTTCCACACAGTCAAAAATCTGTGCATTACTTTACAGTCGACCCCCAGTATTCACATTTGCAGATTCAACCAACCATGGATCATGTAGTACGGTAGTACATATTTATTGAAAAACATCCACATATAAATGGATCCACACAGTTCAATCCCAAGTTGTTTAAGTTCAAGGGTACTACACATCTTCTTCATCCACCTTTGTATTTCATTTTGCTTTGTAGTGATCATATCATTCTTCTAGAATTAGAATTTAAGAAATTTTAAAACTTCTAGTTTTTGCATCTTATAAGTAATTTATATTGCTATATTTTATTTCTATGTTTTTATTGTATTTATAAAATACATATTTATTCAATTAAAAAATTGATGTATACCTAAATTATTCCCTTGCTTATTGAAGTACTCCACTGAAAATATTTATTGTTATGAACTACTGTTAGATAAACTTTTTGGATTATTCACTCAAAATTCCTTCTGAGAATGCAGAGTATAATCAGTGCCTTCTTGTGGTCTACATGGATAGGAATCCACATCTTGGCAGTTTACCTAATTCCACCAGCAAAAGGTATGTGCTGGCTTAATGCCTTGGTCAAACATGGGTATGAGCATGCCAAAGTTGTCTGCCAGCAATCTTTACTGACCTGAGCCTGAATCTCTGTCAGTGAGGGCTTTGAATGTGGGATTT